TTTATACTTGTGTATAAATTATGTATATATTTTTTAATCCAAAAGCGTTTAGTTTCATTCAGCCATACATATATATGTATATATGTTCCACGTATAAGTTATATAAAATAATTTTAATACTGAATAAACAAAGCTATATAATATTTTGCTAATAATCTAACAATATAGGTTAGCAAATGTCTATATATATTTTTTTAAAAATAGGTTAAGTCATTTTAAAACTGCTATTATACTTTATCGAACTATTAAAAATAATATTAAGATATAAATTATGTAAGTCATTGAAATACGATTAAAAAATAAAAATACAGCTATTTAATAATAAACTTACTTCCATCAACACCTAAAACATGAAAAATAGATTTGTAGAACATAAATTAATTAATAACGATAAAAAGTTAATTTAATTGTAAAAAAAAAACTTGTTTTTAATTACAAAACAGTTGAAGTATTTTTTTTTTACATTTGTATACTAACTGTTTTTTATGTACCTGTAAACGTTGCCATAACAATGAAAAATGCGGATATTGCAAACAAAATAATCATTTTTAAATTCATTTTTATTAAGAAACAATACTCTAATATTATCTTAAAATACATAAATTTTGAAATGCTAAATCAAATATGTACTTTTGGATTTTAAGTTAAAGTCAAGCACCAAAAATGCTGAATACTAAACTAGAGCAACAGTACAATTGCTTGCATTATATACTGAGATATGTGCTGCATAAAACTAATTGACTCATATGGCGGGGAAGGAAGTGTACATTGTTGTTGTGTTTATTATTAGTTCATCATTTTTAATGTACTATTATTGTGTATTTAGTATGTGTTCATATTTTGCTAAAATGTGTGGCCAAAAAATTACATTTTGTGTTCTATTGTTACAAATAAATAACGTAAAAAAACTACAAAAATATGGTTTTTGGTTCTCGAACCTGGTTTAATACAGCTAAACTATACCTTTTTTTTAGCAACTTATTTATTTAAGTGTTCCATCAAAATGAATAACATATTATGAGTCATTTTAAGTTTTTCACACTAGTGGTGTAAAATGTATAGGTATTTTAAGTAATATAAAGGACTAGTTATATTTGAAGACTAGCCAATGGCCGAAATAAATCAATTTTTGATATTGCAGTGTTTTTTTAACATATCGTTTAATAATGCAAGTCTGTCTTTACTAGTCATTATGCACTAGGGTTTCATATACATTTTTAAACGTTTTAAGCACGGCATTTTATTTGTTTAAGTTTAATATCGATACACTAAACACTCCATCTTAGCCTATACATTACCGCAACTTTTTAAGATTAACAATTTTACAAATTTTGAATACATCATGCAATAATGCTGTGGACAAATAATTAGATCAGTTCTAAATACCGATTACCATTAACCCTTTTTATCCATTACATTTTTTTGGCACAGTTTAAGAATCTAATGTATGAAATCTAATTGTGAAGATAGATCTAGAGCAATGGCAACACTGTTATTTCACCGCCATATTTGATATTAATTAATTATATTTATTTTTTAGACATCTTTAAGAATTTAAAAAAAATTGTAGCTATTTGAAAAAAAAATAGATCGATCTTGTTTATAATTGCAATTATATATTAGTAAAGTCAATGTTCTATAAAAGAAGAAAATAAATGGTTCAAACATTGGAGTTTTACTCACAAACCCCTTATTCAGTATAATATTATGACGTTTTAAACGTCGCTAATCAAACAATTTAATTTCAGATTTAGCTGTAAAAATTAAAATAAATAATTTGGATTTTTACTTTTAAAGGACACACGGGAAGAAGGGTAGTAGTTCATGTACGAACATCATTTTAGAGTATAGCAAAAAAAAAGTTTGTGAATTCCTTCCCTCTTTCAGAAGAACCAAAAAAATCACATTAAGTGCTATTTTACCAAAAAAAGTAATTATTTAAACAGGTGTTTCTTGGCTTTAGTGGTTCACCCCGAAGGGATCCCCTATGACCGCAGACCGACTAGTAGCACTGGGTGCTAATTGCGGACCGGGGAAAGTGTGTCTCAAGAAGAAGTGACCTGCTAGAAGGCCACTTATCGGAGGGCTCTACATCAATTTAGTCGTCTTTTACGACATGTGTGAGGCTCTTGGTAGAATTCTTTCCCCCCTGACCACAGGGTTAACCGCGGCCAGCAGGCTACGATCAACCCTTAACTGAGTAGCTCAGCGAGTTCCTCTGCTTTGTCGATAGTCTACCTCACTGAGTATCGCTCGGTAGGGCTGGTGTTTGCACCGTCCACTCAGTTTGTGCACGAGTAGTATGTTTTGGCCGTACCGGCTCCTGTTATCAGGCTCCTGTTATCAGGCTCCTGTTATCAGGCTCCTGTTATCAGGATCGTGATAACAGGAGCCTGATAACAGGATTGTGATAACAGGGCGTTATAGCAAGGCGTGATAACAGGATTGTGATAACAGGGCGTTATAGCAAGGCGTGATAACAGGGCGTGATAACAGGATTGTGATAACAGGGCGTTTTAGCAAGGCGTGATAACAGGGCGTGATAACAGGATTGTGATAACAGGGCGTTATAGCAAGGCGTGATAACAGGGCGTTATAACAGGGTCGTGATAACAGGGCGTTATAGCAAGGCGTGATAACAGGGCGTTATAACAGGGTCGTGATAACAGGGTGTGATAGCAAGGCGTGATAGCAGGGCGTGATAGCAGGGCGTGATAACAGGGCGTTATAGCAAGGCGTGATAACAGGGCGTTATAACAGGGTCGTGATAACAGGGTGTGATAGCAAGGCGTGATATCAGGGCGTGATAGCAGGGCGTGATAGCAAGGCGTGATAACAGGGCGTGATAACAGAGTCGTGATAACAGGATTCAATACGACCATATCACGATTCTGTTATCACAATCCTGTTTTCACTACTGGTATCACAATCCTGTTATCACTACTGGTATCACACACACACACACACACACACACACACACACACACAGTTTTCACTACTGGTATCACAATCCTGTTATCACTACTGGTATCACACACACACACACACACACACACACACACACACACACATGGTGGGGACGGGCGAACATCAGCATATAAGGAAGGGTGCACCACCCAACATTTAACAGTTACCAGTTATCACTGCAAGACAGTCGGTGAACAATCATTTGTGCACATACACACACGTACGGTCAAGGTAAGTCCGAGCCAGAGCTTAGATGTATTAAGTCAAACAATATTGTCATTTACAGATGAGTCAAATCACCAAAGATTTCCTAAACGACCGCAGCGAGTTCGTGTTGGAATCGAGGAGACGTCACATTACGGAGATTCAACCCTTCGTCCCATACAGAGTGATACGGTTCGAAACGGTCGTTACAAAGCACGATGCGCGTACGCCCGCCGTAGAATTACGCTTGGGCGATAATCCACAACCCATACGCGTATACTTGCCAACCAGATTCAGAATGACCGACGAAGAACTACAGAAGCCGATAGATTCTAATCTAACAATGATCTACAAGGGAAAGAAGAACGGGTCCAACGTCCACGATGTCGTATTTTTATAATATTATGGGTAAGTGCAATAGTCAGTTAGCAGAAAAAAAAATTAAATAACTAATTGCTGGTGTCTGTTGTACTCTACAGATAATGACGGACCGTTCGACGACTGACCTGCAGTACAACACACGCGCAAATATATAAGTAGCAGTAGGAGTAAATGTGATTAATGTCAATAAAAAAAAAAAAAAAAAAAAAAAAAAAAATGTATGTTTAGCTATTAATACCTAAATAAATATATATATATCAAGTAAACGAAATATGATCTTATTATTATTATTATTACGATTTGAATGATATTGTACTAATAAAATAAATATTATTATTAACGAACACACACACACACACACACACACACACACACACACACACACACACACACACACACATCAAGTAATTTATATCATATTAGGATTATTATGTTATGTGTGTATTACTACTATGATTATTATATATAAATAATAGTATTATTATTATATTTAATTTTATTGGAATAAATAATATATACAAATAATATATATATATATATAATATTATGGGTAAGTGCAATAGTCAGTTAGCAGAAAAAAAATTAAATAACTAATTAAATAACACACACACACACACACACACACACACACACACACACACACACACACACACACACATCATGTAATTTATATCATATTAGGATTATTATATAAATAATAGTATTATTATATTTAATTTTATTGGAATAAATAATATATACAAATAATATATATATATATATATATATATATATATATAACACATCATGTAATTTATGAATTCACGCCGTTGGCAATTCGTGCCACGTCCACGTGGAATGGAGGCTCACAGGCGTGTCTGAAATTTGTGCGTCAAGGTCGACGTGCGGCAACCACAGTGTTTTTTTTCTCGGTTTACTCGTGGAGGAGCCGGCCGGTACCTGACCGCGGTTGCCGCCGCCGCCGCCGTCGCACCGAAAAATAATATATACAAATAATATATATATATATATATGCGCTTGCGCGTACATGTTGCAGAAATGGATAACGAGTCTTCGACTGGATTTATTTTAATGGTCCCGTGGCGTCGAAGACTCGTTATCCATTTCTGCAACATGTACGCGCAAGCGCATATATATATATATATATATATATATATATATGCGCTTAGATGTACGTTGTGAACCAGGTGACGACGGTGGCGGCGGCGGCGGAGGCGGTGGTGTCTCGGGTGATGGGGACACCGTCCACGGAGTAGTTGGTGGCGGTGTGCAATTGCTGCAACACCTGTCCGGCGAATGCGCTATAAATACGGGCGCTATATATATTGTCTTTCAATAACCGGAAAGTTCATCTTAATACGCACGTTTTCAAACCTAACACACACACACACACACACACACACACACACACACACACACACACACACACACACACAGTGAAAATGAATCAGTCTTGGGTTGTATGTAAGTACACGTTTGCTAACCGAAAGAATATGCTACGACATCAAAGACAGTTCAACCATTACTTAGGTATAAATGAATATGGAAATATGATTAAATAGATTAATATCACCCTGACACGTTATTTACAGTTGGACCGGATCAACCCGGATCAACTCAGCAATCCCCCAACGAAGGTAAGGAAAAAAAATAGATCAGTATTAATTTTAGATATATGATAGAACAATAATAATAAGAAAAGTGAAATATCATTACAGCGACCGCGCCTCAACACACTGATCATCGTCAAGACCATGTTGATGATGAAGGTAATTAAAAAAGAAATATAATAGTATAGGATGATTCTATTTGTTGTTATTTAATTACAGTATGGATAGACTTGACTACAGAAGAAGAAAATAGGGAAGCAGACAATTTTAGTAACATCGGGGAAACAGGTAAACAAAAAAAATAATGATTTAAGGTAACTAATATACATTCATTCAACTCGGCTAACACGGTCACAATATATATATGTATCAGAAAGAGTACCGGCTGCAATGAATTCGGTCAACTACAGCAGTGTCTGCGACGACCACAATTACAGCAGTGTCTGTCTGTCGGTAAAAAGAATATTAATAATAATAATAATATACAAAACAATAACAGGGTTGATCAATTTAGAATATATCGACGTCTGGCCTTCGTCTCCGTCACACCACACAGGAACCGCCGCCGACACATCGATAAGAACTGGTGGTGCCATGACAATGACCGGTATAATCAATTACACTAATTAAAATAACGCGTGCGGATAAGTACTAATAAATGGAAACATATAGGTCAAATGGACGCTACCGATGTGCCGAGTAGAATCACAACAACGGCTGCTACAGACGGCCGCAATACCGATAATATGCAAATACAAAGTCCGAACCGTAAGAATACAACCAATACAATTAATAATATGATTATACGTAAATGATAAATTAATTTAAAATAAGTAGTAAAATGATAATTTAGTTATGAATTAATTTAAAATAAATTTTTTTACATGGTATTTATGTTAATGTTGGAATTTAAAATAAATTAACAAACCGTGATATACACATAGTTTCGGAACGCGTTACATTTTTTTTCTCGACTATATTCATGTGGGCAGTATTTTTTTTTTTTTGATTTGCTGTGTGTGTGTGTGTGTGTGTGTGTGTGTGTGTGTGTGTGTGTGTGTGTGTGTGTGTGTGTGTGTGTGTGTGACAATATATATATATATATATTTATAAGGAAATAACAGTGTACTGTAATTTAATATTCATAGCGCTCGACAACGACGATGACGGCGTCGGCGATGACGGCGTTAGCGAGGGTGATGACACGATGACCACGGGTCGGACAAGTATGATAAAGAACCGAATGGGAAAAGAGAATAATAATAATAATATTAATAACGGTGTGTATTTGCTTTACGAACAGCTCGATTCGGCGATGCTTTCGACGGCCGAATTTCAAATTTCAAAATCGATTGTCGAAATACGACCGCCGACATTAATGAGTTCTTGGTCCGATCGGAAGCTAAGGTGTTGAAGGTGTGGGATAAACAGCTCGTTCGGTACGTAGCGCTGAAAGTGAGTCTGGGTTTGTACGCGGTGTACGAAAAACAGAAGCAGCCGGCTGCTGGCGGCGCCGACGTGTATGACACATGTGTGCACGATCACGCGGCCGGTCCGGTCATACTGACACAGGGACAGGATCAGCACACAGTGTATACACAGCTTGCTGATATTATTCGTACGAGCGCCGACGAATTTGAACGTGGCGATTCGGGGTGGGCGTTTCGCGAGAACGTATACCTCGAAACGTCTACGTACAAGTATAATCCGCTCAGGGCATCGTGCACAATTACTCTGCCTACCTCGCTGTTGCGGAAGAGCGCCGTCCTGAACATCGCGAACACCGATGATGCATGTTTTTTTTGGGCGATCGTGGCGCACATCCACCCTGCACCGGCAGGTGTTGATCCCACGCGTACTACGAGCTATCCCCCCTACAACCGTATACTCCAAACCCGCGGGATCTCGATGCCGGTGGCGTTAAAGTCCATCCCAAAATTCGAAACCGACAACGAGATCAGCGTTAACGTGTACGCTTGGGAGGATAACAAGATCGTAGGGCCGCTTTACTATACGACCGAAAAGCGAGTGCGCCACGTGAACCTGATGTACGTCACATCGGTTAACCGCACCGACGGCCATTATGTGTTGATAACCGACTTGGCGCGCGCCGTGGGGAAACAATTGTCTAGGCGCGGACACAGAGCGTTTCTGTGTGACGGTTGTCTCCTCACGTTTAGGAACCAAGCGGCGATGGATCAACACGAATGCCGGCGGTGTCGCGTTGTTCTCCCATCGGACGATAAAAATATCGTCGAGTTCATCAATTGGAAAAACATCGTTCCCGTTCCATTCTGTATTTACGCAGACACCGAAGCTATCCTCAAACCGATCGCTCCGCCCCCGAATGCCGGTGGGACCTACGACATCGCGGAGCACGTAGCGTGTAGTTTCGCTTACTTTGTCAAGTGCGATTTCGATTCGTCACTTGACAAGTTTGAACTCTACCGGGGCGCGGATTGCATGTCGGTGTTTGTGGAACGGTTGGAACGGGACGTGAAGGCCATAGCTCGACGGTATTTTTCCCCGGTGGATATGACCCCCCTTACCCCCGCGCAGCAGGCAGTGCACGATGCGGCGACCGTGTGCTACGTCTGCCGCGAACCGTTGACACCGGTCGACAAGGTGCGGGACCATTGTCACCTGAGCGGACGATACAGAGGCCCGGCTCACAGCGCGTGTAACTTAAAACTGCGAGTACCGAACTACGTACCGATCGTGCTCCACAATTTTTCGGGTTACGATAGTCATTTTCTCACCACCGCCCTCGCCGACGACACCAATCAAATCCAAGTCATCGCCAAGACCAAAGAAAAGTACATTTCGTTGTCTAAGTTTCTGCGGTTGGACGACGAAACCGGCGGGAGTCACACAATCGTCATGCGGTTCATCGATTCATACCGGTAAGACTGATAAAAACAAAGCAGTAATTTTGGTCTACAATAACGGTATTTCTGGACAGGTTTCTGCCCTCGTCGCTGGACGAAGCCGCGCGGTCGCTGACCGACGTCCAGCTGGTGAACACCAAAACCCGGTTTCCGGACGATGGTCAGTTCCGGTTAATGAAAACGAAGGGGTATTTCCCGTACGAATACGTAACGAGCGCAGAGGTGCTTGAGGAAACGTCGTTACCTCCACTCGACGCTTTCCGGAGTCAGTTGACGTTGTCCACCATCACGGACGAACAATACCGCCACGCGCAGACCGTGTGGTCAACGTTTAACTGTCAAACACTAGGCCAGTATAGTGACGTATACATGTGCGGCGACGTGTACTTACTGGCCGACGTGTTTGAAACGTTCCGGAAGTTTATCCTCGAGCACTACAGACTCGATCCAGCTGCGTATCTGACGACCCCTTCGTTAGCCTGGGATGCGATGAAGCTAATGACAGGGGTCAAAATAGAGCTCATGACGGAGCACGATCAGGTGCAATACGTCATGAAAAACATCCGTGGAGGGTTGGTCCAATGCAATCAACATTATGCAAAGGCCAACAATAAGTATATGGAGGACTTTGACCCGACGGAAGAGCCATCGTACATCATGCAGTTAGACGAAAATAACCTTTACGGATGTGCGATGAGCCTCCCCCTTCCGATTGGTGAGTTCCATTTCTTAACCCCCGCGGAGCTCACCACTTTTGACCCCCTCACCGTTTCGGACGATGCGGAATTCGGCTATTTTGTGGAGGTAGACCTCGAATATCCGCACGCCGTCCACGACCGCCTAGCAGATTTACCGTTCTTTCCGGAGAACATGGTTCCACCCGGAGGCAAACAGCCAAAGCTCATAGCCAACCTGATCAATAAAGAGAAGTAAGAACAACGGGGAAAATGAGTGTGTGTGTGTGTGTGTGTGGGCAATGGGAATATTTATCGATTTTTTTTTTTTTTTTGTTTCAGATACGTCACTCATTACAGGTGCTTACAGCAAGGCGTTGCCAACGGGGTGGTTCTCCGGAGAATCCATAGCGCACTTCGGTTTCGGCAGCGTGCTTGGATCCGTCCGTTCATCGAAACGAACACGAGATTGCGCGCTGCGACCAGGACGAAGTTCGAGGGCAACTTGCCAAAACTGATGTCGAATTCGGTTTACGGCAAGGCGCTCGAGAACCCTGAAAAACGAACCAAAGTGCACATTGTCACGCGCTGGAGAAACGTCAAGCAGAGACTAGGAGCCGGTGTTTTGATAGCTAAACCCACGTTCGACAGCGTGGCGATCTTTACCCCGTCCATGGCGGCCGTGCAGATGACCAAATCGGTTATCAAGTACGACCGGCCGTCATACGCGGGTTTCGCCGTGCTGGAGCTGTCAAAATACATTCTGTACGACTTCCATTACGGGTACATGGTACCCAAATATGGCTCTAAAGCGCGTGTCATCTATGGAGACACGGACAGTCTGTTTTATTGGGTTGAAACCGACGATTTTTATGCTGACATGAAGGCTGATATCGACAAGTATGCACGGACCGCTTTGCCGGTCGTTCACACAAACTAATGGGTTTATTTTTTTTATCCAGGTACGATACCAGCAACTTCAGTCCGGACAACCCATACGGAATGCCTTTGGTCAACAAAATGCTTTTATGGAAGATGAAGGACGATGCTGGTGGTAACATCGTCCTATTATTCATCGGCCTTCGGAGCAAGTCGTACTGCTCCGATTCGGTCGAACCGTCGATGAATAAAAAAAAGCTGAAAGGCATTCAACGCGCGGTCGTGGAAAAGACGATCACCCCCCAGGACTACTACGACTGTCTCGTTATCCCGAACCACAAGGTAATGAGACAGACGTGTACGTTTCGGTCGAAACGTCATAGGCTGACCACCGAAATGTGCACGAAACTAGCGATGGTGTACAAAGACGACAAACGGTACCAAATACCCAATTCGTTTTTGACACTCCCCTGGGGTCATTATCGCATCCCAGACGATGAACCGGACAGTGACTAACCGGTAGCGGTGACGATGGATTTGACAGTGTAAAATAACCCAAGACTGACTCTTTTTGTATTTTATTTTTTATTTTTTTATTTTGTAAATAATGTATAGTAATAATACAAATTAAACCAAGACTTCTTTTTTTTTTTTTTAAATAATTTCCCTTTAGCGATAATAATATCAGGTAATACTATTTGCTAGTACAAAATATACATTGTTAAGTGTGTGTGTGTGTGTGTGTGTGTGTGTGTGTGGACAGGAAAACATCAGGTTTGGACATGCGTGCACAGTGCCGCGGAATAAATTACAAACCGATGAAAGTATGAGTTATTTATTCAACATATAGCCAGATGAATACAAATTTACATATTCGTACAACAAATATATATATATATATATAATTATTGCATAAAACATAATAGAATAATAATAATAATAATAATAATAAGTTTGGTACAATATTTGCCGTTACCGTCCAATGTTTTCATCCATCCAAACGCGGAGGGCTAAACATTGCGCCTTCGCACAGGTTTTGTTTTGAGCGCGGTCCGAGTGAAATGGACATACGTGTTGTTGTTGTTGGAGCATCCGGCACTTGGGACAGCCGTAAGCTTCCAGGTCGATGACCGTGCACTTCGGTAGATAGCGTTGTAGGAGGTTCCGCTTTTGAATGCCTTTGACGTACACAGCAGTGTAGCGGCTGTTAACGGCGCCTAGGACGCGCGCCAGCTCCGAATACGGTATGTGACCGTCTGTATAGCGGATACCGTGAAAGTGTGTTTGCAACCAAACGTTTACTTTAGTGCTTTGCGGTGACAGCCGAAAGGTAGGCGGATGTTGAACCAACCAATGCATCACGTGTGTAGCTCTTTGCGCGTCAGCTATGCATATTTCTTTGATGACCATGTGAAGGTCCGAGTCGACCACGCACTGAACGTCAATAACCGCTGAAAGCATATTGTCAAACTGAGCTATCGGTTCGTTTGATCCAAGCATTATACTTGACGGGTAACCCGACGTATTTCACGAACTGCTTGTCCCCCTTCCTCCGGACAATTTTTTCTATTAAATACGTGTTGGGATAACGCGTCCGGTTCATCTCTTGCGCGTAGAACGTTCCGTTAACCGGCGCGCCGCTCTTATCGCGCACTGTATAAACTGTAGGCGCTGTCCGTCGTACCCCGGACACGGTGAAAATTTCGTTTGACCAACTTTGCGCATAACCCTTATCAAATACCGTTTTATGTTTGCTCAGGCGTACGGCATCGCCCACGGCGAATTTAGGTTTGCCGCCTGCCGCCGCCGCCGGTTTCGGCAACCGGTAGAAAACAACACTCCCGGGCTCGCGGGACGCGTCGTTCGGCGTCATTCGGATGGACGTGTGCACGGTTGTGTTGTAAGCGGCGACTAGATCATTAACGAGCAGCACCCATTCGTGGTTGCCGTGCGCTGTAAACGCTTTCCACATCTTTTCTTTAAGCGTTCTGTTCCAGCGTTCGCAAACGCTCGCCTTCAGCGGCGTGTACGTTTGATAATGGTGTATATTATACTGCTCGTACACGCGTCGTGCGTCTTTATTGATAAATTCCAGACCACGATCCGTGTGCAGGTGACGACATCGTCTGTCGCTGGACTTGATTATGTGTTCGAGGGCAGCGGCCACGGTCGGACCAGATTTATTTTTCAACGGTACGGCCCAGCCGTACTTGGTGTACACGTCTATAACTGTCAGGAGGAACGTGTGATTTTTATTTTTTTTTACTTTGGAAAACTTTTTCATGTCTACGAGGTCGGCTTGCCATAAATCGTCTTTGCCGTCGGTGCGCACGACCCGTCTGGCAAACCGCCGGATAGCCGGTCTGTGTAGTTCGGTTGCGATGTGCTCGCGAACGGTCATCATCGTCAGCGGATCACACCTATTTCCCTGAGTTCCTCCTCGCACGCGATAATTTCGTTGTGCACGGCGGTATTGCCCGCGGCTTGCGCGGCTCTGAGCAAAGCGAGGCGGTCGACTATTTCGTTGGCGTCGTCCCAGTAAACATATTCTTTGTCCTTCCCCGTAACCGTCAACCGCGTAATCCCGTCACCCGTCTTGGCCGCGGCGCGAACTGCGGTCAGGTCGCGTCCGTTCTCGTTGAACAACTGTTTGATAATGTACTTATACTTGTATCCGCGGTTCGTTTTCGGTCTACCGGACGATAGCAAATGACATCCTGTGTGAATGAGAAAATTGCGATACGTGGTCAGATCGTTTTCGGTGATGAATTGCATGCGGGGTACCGAGCTGCACACCAATTCTTGGAGTCCTTTCGTGAAGGGTATTTCGGATAACGTGCCCACTTTTATACGGTTTTTGTTGAACTGTACTGCTTTATCACCCATCACCCATGTTCCGTCTGGTTGTAGATGAATGCCGTACGACGGATTGGTTTCGGTAATACGGAATTCTTCTGCTTTTTCTTTTTCTTCTTCTTCTTCTTCAGACTCATCTTTCCGGGCGCCTCGTGCTTGCGTCCGCTGCGCCGACAACTCGGCTGTTAATTTTGTCAACGGTTCAACGATCGGCGCCGCGTGGGTTCGCACGTATTCGGTCGTCACGGCCAATCCGTGCCGCAGCTCGTCTAGTTTGCGTTTTATGCTTTTCTTAGCACGTATAATTGCTTCCGTCGTAGCCGGCGATTCCATGGTTACATTTTACTGAACGGGCGCGATGCCGTCGCGCCTTTTTATATACACGTCGAAACCCATTCGATAACGTCCGTCGTTTAGATCGAAGTCCTTGACAATTGTTAAAAACGAGTACCGGTCGGTGTTCCAACACTGCGAGCACATGGATTTAAAGTCAGCGAACGTCATATCAGATTGACAGTGTTCCTGGTAAACGTGCCGAACGTTAGTCTCGTCCTGTTTGTACAAAACTATCATCGACGCGTTGTCCCGGATCCCGTGCTTCGGCGCTTTGACATACGTTTGCGTCAGGTAAAAGCTATCGATCCCGTTGTGCCGTCCGCGACAAAAGTATTCGGCGATGTTTCTTTGTTTTTCAAATGCGACATCGTCAAAAACAAACACCGAATTAGTCTGTACTTGTTCGGGTGGGGGCACATGATCCCCGTCGGTGTACACGTGCATTTGCGCGCCGTCAACGCCCTCCATCACCTTCTTTAACATTATATATTTTGGCTGATCAGGTGTCTTCGTGTACAGGTATATGTGTTCGAAGCGCAGCCCGTTTTCGTCTGTCAAAAGGTTTACCATCGCCGTTGTCTTGCCGACGTTACTGGGCCCCGCGATAATACATCTGATTGAGGAGGGTAGGAGGGGACCGTGACGGCTGTGGTGGTCGTCAGCAGCGGCTGGGTCGTCGTCGTCGAGCCGCAGAACGGTTAATTTGTGTTCTTGCGGTTCGAAAAACATTATAAAGGTGGTGTCGCAGACCAATGCCGTGTCCAAACGTAAACGGTGCGTCGTCGTCGAAGGTTCTCAGCGAACAAGATCGGTCGGGTTATCGTCACTGCGGTTATAAGCTCACTACTGTAATGCCCCGTGTCAACCGACGTAAACGGAAGGGACGGCGGTCTGCACCGAAAATCGGAGGCGGGCTGCGCTTCGGCAGTCTCGTAGCTGCCGCTCGTGCTGCGATGCGCAAAGCGAAACCGCTAACCGTCGATGCGGCAGCGCGGAAGGCGTTATCCGCCGTCAACCAGGTCCGTCGGAAAGCCAGGGGAAAACCGGTTCTCCGACCGCGCACGTTGGCCGTGCCGAAAATCGGCGGTGCGTTCGCGCTTGTGCCTTTTCTCTCAGCCCTGTCAGCGATCGGCTCACTGCTCGGCGGTGCGTCCGGAATCGTGCGTGCGGTTAACGACATCCGCAATAACAAAAACGCGAAAGCCCCGGTAAAAATCGGAAGTGGCTATTTGATGCACCGCAAGCGAAACGGATCCGGATTCTACCTCAAACCGTACCAGCCAAAAAACTGATAACCACGCTGCCCAGATCGCGGGCGCTGAGCGACGTGGATATTATAAATTACGCGACAAAGTTGGGCATATCTCATTTCCGCGGTGTGTTTATGCGCGACACGTTACCGGCTGCGCCCTTGCGGTTTGAGTGCGGCGTCGTTAATCTTGACGTCTCTACCGGAAGTGGTACACACTGGTGCTGTTACCACAAGCGCAACGATACCGTCTTGTTTTTCGATCCGTTCGGTAACCTCCCGCCGCCGCTAGAACTTCAGCGTTATTTCAGCGGTTGTCTCGTCCAATATACCTACGACCGTGTGCAACGATTCGCAACATCCGTTTGCGGTCAGCTATGTCTCAAGTTTCTGTACGCTCAATGTCGTCCGCGCACCGCTCGTTCACGTTAACCTTTCAAGGTACCGCGAGCGAGCTGGTCAGCACGTTTTTCCCCCCTATCCCGTTGCGGACCGGCGCGGAGATCGCGTTGCTCGACGTCATAGTGTGCAATTCCCGTCCCAACGTCGACGCGTCTAACAACACTTTGCGCGTGCGACGGTTGCCAGGTGTTCAAAAACGCGGTGCCAACATCGATATGTACGATGACACTGTCGCCACCGGTACCGGTTCAGTGCAGATCAAATCGGACGCGCCGTCGCCGTTACCAGACGATGCCTATGACGACGTCGTGATACCCGTCGGGTCGTACGAGGTGTCCGCTTTGGCTCGCGTGCTCAAGTCACTAGTCGAAAACCTAAATCCCGATTACCGGTTCGCGCTTCATCCCAACGTCAACACGTTTGAATCGGAACTCCTGTGTAATCGCGACATCAGCTTCGCGGCCCCCAACAGCGTCGGCCCTCTATTGGGGTTTGAGCGGGTCGAGCTGCCGGCGAACACTTTGCACCGATCCGGTCGTCTGATCACCATCGATCCGCTTACGTGTATAAGAATCACATGCAACGTCGCGGCAGGTGCATTCGTCAACGGCGTTCGTAGTCGCGCGATCTATGACTTTTTCCCATCCGTCCCGCCCGGGTTTCAGATCGCAGAATCACCGCGTAATCTGATTTATTATCCAATAGCGACGGATCGTCTCGACCGCGTGCGGGTCACGATTACCGATCAGAACTCGAAGCTGGTCGACTTCCGCGGTGAACCAATCACAGTACGTTTACACGTGCGCGATGGGGTTGGTGTTTAAAAGCGTCCGCACGCGTCCGGTTCGGTACATTCAGCCGTCGACACGTTCCCGGTTAACACGGCAGAGCTTGCAAACGTTATCGGCGCTCGGCTACAAACTCGCCGCGAATCAAACCACCGTCAATGGACGTCGACGTTTTGGACATCACTCGGCGAGTCGAATTCGACGATTGCATCACTAAATACGAGTTTCACACTTATCAACCGTTCTCCAGCAACAGTCTAACGAACAACGATGAGATCCGCATCGCGATTCAACACCAGGACCTCTACACACTCCCTAGCGAATCACTGCTATGTCTGCAGGGATCCGTTGTCGTCACCCCGGCCACTGACACATCCGACGTGACCATCGTCACCAACGGATTGATGTTTTTGTTCGACGAGATTCGCTATGAGCTGAATTCAGTCGAAATCGATCGGGTGAGACAACCCGGCGTTGCTAGCACGCTCAAGGGGTACGTAACGATGCAGAAAACGGTACACGGTCGGTACGCGAACGCTGGTTGGTCGGCGAACACAACAAAAGAGTTTGATGTCGTTATACCGCTCAGGTTGATATTGGGATTTTGTGAAGATCACAGAAAACTCATAATTAACGCGCGACAAGAACTCGTTTTGCACCGTGCGAGCACCGACAGTGATGCTCTTACAACGAACGCGGCCGCCGCAAGCGTTGTGTTGGATCACGTTACGTGGAGAGTGCCGCACGTCAATGTAAACGATTCTGTTAGATTGCAGTTGCTCAAAGCGTTGGACGCGAAAAAACCGTTATCCATCGCTTTCCGTAGCTGGGAGCTATTCTCTTATCCGTCGCTCCCCCGGTCGAACAAACATTCCTGGGCGGTTAAGACGAGCACGCACACGGAAAAGCCGCGATACGTGATAGTAGCCTTGCAGACCGATCGGAAAAATAAACTCGCGACGAACTCCAGTCAGTTCGACGGATGCGGGTTGACCACGTTGAAAGTATATCTCAACTCTGAATCGTATCCGTACGATACGTTAAAAATCGATTATGCCGGTGATAAATTTTCGTTTTTGTACAACATGTATGCGAGTTTTCAAGAATCGTATTACGGCGTTCCGGTCGGAGAACCGTTGTTCACCGCAGCAGAGTTTAAGTCGACATCCCCCATCGTCGTTGTTGATTGTTCGAAACAGAATGATTTTGTTAAGAACGCACCGATTGACTTACGTATAGATTTTGAAACGGCTAGCAACGTGGCTGACAACACCGCTGCTTATTGTTTAATCGTACACGATAAAATTTTTGAATATAACGCTTTGACTAGCGAAGTGCACAAAATTTTGTAATACCAATTGATATAACAATACCTGTTTTTTTTTTTTTTTTTGTATATATATATTTTTTTAAATTTAATATTCCTTTATGATTGTAAATATTTTTTAAAAATAAATAATCATTGCGTTAAAAATTTTTTTTTTTTCCCTTTCCTTTCCTTTCTTCGCTCTCAGTTATCAATCTTTTTCTTTTAACCATTGATTGGACGGGTAACATACAAAATGAATACACAGTTTTTTTTTTTTTAGGTACATTACACATATTTATTTATTTCTATCGTTCGTCAAGATGATATATATATATATATATATATATATATATATATATATATATATATATATATATAGTATAACAAACACACATAATATTAATCATATAAAAACAGAATTCGTTGTTACATTTTTTTATTTTTTTTATTTATGTGCCCGCGAAGCACAGGTCCGTCCGCCCGCCGTTTAATGATGCTGCTGCTGCTGCTGCTGCTGCTAGCGTCGTCATTTTCTTCTTCTTCTTCTTCTTCTCCCTCATAATCGTCATCGTCGTCGTCGTAGTCAGTGTTGTCGTCGTCATCGGCACTACTACTACTATTACTACTTTCAGTCTCTTCGACTGTGCTCTCCGCGTCGCTGTCGGGTAGTTCCATCACACTTGACGTGGACGACGATCTGCTCTCCTCCTCCTCCGAAGACATCGTTAGATCTGGTGATAATGTAATTGGTCAATTTAGTTTTATACACTCACACACACACACACACCAAGGTCGATGTACTTACCCACTACGTCGGTTAACGAGAACACCCTTTCTATTCGCAGCTGTATTCGCCTCACAGCTTCCGCGTCTACCACCTGTTTCACATTTTTTTTTTTTACTATACACTCCTTATATATATATAATTATTCCCTTAATATAAAATCGACTTACGCTCATCGGTAGTAACTCTGGCAACCCGTTGTCATCATCATCGTCGTCGACGTTATGCACCCAATTGGTACTAAACGGTGGCGGCGAATTTGGCGGCGATAGTGGTGAATATCTGTAGGGCATTTTGATTTGGTTGTATGCGTGAATGTGATTAAATGGTTTAGCGTGTTCGTTTATATATGGTGTGTGTGGTTATTTCGTCCCTTCATTTTCTTTGTGTTATCATTGTACGCGGTCTAACGGGAAATAACCTTATCAGGTTTCGACCGTCATGTCATCCACACTATCGCACGGCGGTGGTGGTGGTGGTGGTGGTGGTGGTGGTGGTGAAGCAATGCTCCCACCGTCTGACTTGGTTACTGGTGTAGTACTCGTCTTCTCCTCCTCCTCCTCCACCACGTCGTTCCTGTTATAATTACTATGTACTAAAATATAATCAATAGGTTTTTTTTATTTTACTTACTTATCTGTGTAACCGTCAAGTAACTCTGCTAAATTCCATTGTGAGTTAGGCATCATCATCATCGTATTAACATTTTCTCCCCATATTTCGTCGCACAGCCGTTTGTATTCTATGACCGCGATTTCTTTGTAATAACTTGGTTCTCGCGGTGGTAATCCGTGTACAGGATGATTCATCATTGCGGTGTACACCTCATCGACCGACATTGTTGCGTATCGATTTATCACCTCCACCGTCATCGCATTCTTCATCGTGCCGTATTGCTCCGTCAGGGCTGTACATATTTTCGCGTTATCATCAAGTGCCCGTACGATTGCTTCGCGATTCCACTCCAACGTTAACAAATTTTCTTCGGTCAGCGTAAGGCGGGTGTGCGCGTCGTTGATGATCAGGTATGACTTTGAAAAACATCTGGTTTTTTTAATGATAATACCGTCCGGCGGTTGTACGTGGAACGCCGCGCGTTGATTGCTGCCCACGAACCGCGTGAGATCATTAATACCCGTTACCAGTCCGACGATTTGATTTAAGCTCAAGTTCATAAATCCGTTGGAACACACAATCATCGCTGCCGGAGCATATCCCGTCTCCGTCCACGCGCATCCTATGTGTAAGAATTTTCTCTCCTTAAAACTTATCGTTATCACTTTGACCGCCAAGAGTTTCGTTTTTGGCTCTTCGCACGTCCGCTTACGTCTGCTGCTGCTGCTGCTCATGCGTATACCTTTCCCCTTTCCGGCCATTGTCGCTGTGGCAGTTCACTACTGTGTCCGTCGAGCGTTGACGCTATACTAGCGCGGTTCCGTCACCGTGTTCACCCGTCCCCACCATGTGTGTGTGTGTGTGTGTGTGTGTGTGTGTGTGATACCAGTAGTGATAACAGGATTGTGATACCAGTAGTGAAAACAGGATTGTGATAACAGAATCGTGATATGGTCGTATCGAATCCTGTTATCACGACTCTGTTATCACGCCCTGCTATCACGCCCTGTTATCACGCCTTGCTATCACGCCCTGCTATCACGCCCTGCTATCACGCCTTGCTATCACACCCTGTTATCACGACCCTGTTATAACGCCCTGTTATCACGCCTTGCTATCACGCCCTGCTATCACGCCTTGCTATCACACCCTGTTATCACGACCCTGTTATAACGCCCTGTTATCACGCCTTGCTATAACGCCCTGTTATCACAATCCTGTTATCACGCCCTGTTATCACGCCTTGCTATAACGCCCTGTTATCACAATCCTGTTATCACGCCTTGCTATAACGCCCTGTTATCACAATCCTGTCATCAGGCTCCTGTTATCACGATCCTGATAACAGGAGCCTGATAACAGGAGCCTGATAACAGGAGCCGGTACGGCCAAAACATACTACTTGCACGCGCACAATTTCGCGCAAATAAGTGACCGTGGGTCTTCCACCAGAGTGGGCTCTTGAGTTCACCCGTACCTCGGCTATAACCCGTAGGATATAGCCGGCAGGATTACTCCTGTTTCGTGACGCAGTAGGCTCGTGCCTTGACGGTTCGCGATTTCTTGCAATCCGGGGGAGGTACGCGACCAGGAATCGGCTCGTCACCTACCTGGTGTTCAGTACCTCTCACCCATTTCGCTTCAGGTAGAGCGCTCGTTTGCAAAACTTCTCAAATACCGTGTATAAGGCTCTGGTGGATACAAGTGTAGATGGGTCGCACGGCCAAAGGTGACCGTGCCGGTGCACCTCGAGTTGGAGCATGGCTCGATGCTCGTCATGTATTCGACACTGAAACAAGACGTGCTCACCTGTCTTTTCTGGATGGCCACACTCACAATCGGGACTGTCCACCAAGTAAAAAGAATACAATTTTGCATTGAAATCCCAATGACACAGTATAAACTGGTTAGTATAGTGCGAGCTCCAGATCGGTGTAGCCAATCTTCTGCTCACCGAAGGAAAGAATTTGTAAGTCCATCTGCCTTTTATCGATATGTCCCATTTATGCTGCCACGATCGCATTTGTCGGTCCCATTGTTCCCTCAATTCTTTGGATCTTCAGTCTGGCTCTAGTCTATTCTATATCTCTATACCATCCTAATTTCTCTATGGTTTTAAGTGGGTTGTGAATGCCCATCAGTTATAAGTGGGCTGTGAATGTCTATCAGTTCTAAGTGGGTTGTGAATGCCCATTGGTTAAAAGATTGCTGTGAATGCCCTTATTACTACTACTCTCGTGTCGTCTCAACCGCGGCTCGATATACCACGAGGAGGTCGAGAGGCATATATGCAGATAGCCCCGGTAACGCATCAGTTGACGCCGTTTTATATGCACCAGTGATTCCAAGCAATAGCCTTCTTTCCATACCAGCGCTCTGCACAAGTTTGTTTGTTAGGTCAAAAATGTAAACATTTCACCCCTTTCCTATTTCAAAAACGAAATCTTTTAAACTTAAAATTACGGTGAGCTATAAATTCAGTCATATTTTTAAAACCTTTACTTTAGCCCGACTTATTTCTCATCCCCCTAGGGGGTGGGCAAGTTTTTTTTATTATTTTGGCATTTTAGCCGTAATTTCGGAATCTTTAAATTGAAAATTTGTCAGTTGCTAGAACTCATATGTATCCATAACTTACTAAACAAAGAAAAAATTCAGGACTACAGTTTTTCTTTAATTACCGGAAAACTGTGTTTTTTCCACATTTCGTATTTTTTTAACAAATACACCTAAACTTACCCCACCATGCTCTGTCCCCATTATGCCCGGACCACACTGTACTGGCTTTTTAAATTAATAATCATTATTGATATTCGAACAATTCCCATCACTTATATAGTTTTATCTAATAATGGACAAAATATCAATTTTAATTAATTTTAAAGTACAACTGGGAGATGTTTTATTTTAGATGCTTTGGTTTTTTTGGGCTACACTACTGTGATTAGTGACTGCAGCACAGAATATAATACCTGGGTGCTACTAATTTTAAATCACTGTTTGAGGAAATACATATATTTTCCTAAATCAGTAAATATTCTATTTGTAATTGTTTGTTTATTTTTTTAGGATGTTTAAGAAAAAGTGGTAGTATTATGTTCACTATTTATAATAAGTATTAAATGCAAATTTAATTTAACTGTTGTAACATCTGGGTTCTAAAATGCGAGAAAATAAATGGTATAAACATATGTAAAATCATTTATCGTGTAAATTGTAATTCATTATTGTATTATTGTTTTTTTTATCAAAACCAAGCTGATTTTACAGCGACTGTTGTAATGTAAACAAATAGTAAGTTCCTATAAGTATCACAAACTGTGAATTTTATAAGAATTTTCGTATTGTACAAAACAACTTGTATGGTTTTATTTATTTATTTATTTTATTGAAAACGAGGTGTTTTTCTTAACATATTTTGTTTTGCAGTGGTTTTTGTATTTATATGTTTGACCTTTTTTATTTCTTGCGCAGTAACATCTTGATATTACAATACTTATACATATATAAATATATATATTATTTTTAAAGATTTGAATACTCGAACAGTTGTAGAATAGTATACATATTGAATTAGATTGTAATTCCTACTTTTATCGATGTAGAAGAATGTTAATATATTTATTTTGTTGGGCTAGATCGGTCCAGCGCAGCCTAATAAAATAAATATAATAACTTTTCAACTTTTACATGATAAAACGCATGTACTCCCTACAAAAGTTATGCGCAGGGCCTGACAATATACCTTACATATTTATTCAAAACTTTGGACCAAAGCCCTAAAATTAATGTTAAAAATATTCAATAGAATCTTTATCGAAGGCTCTTGGCCAACCACTTGGAAAAATGGTACTATTATACCTATTATCAAACAGGAAAAAGATAAATTTAAACCAGAAGGATATAGACCAATAACTCTATTGAACACCATGTGTAAGATATTGGAAAAATATTTTAACCATAGACTAACATGGTTCCTAGAAATATACAACTACCTAGCCAAACAACAAAGTGATTTCAGAAAAAATAGAAGCACAATTGACAATCTCTTTCAAATTAAACATGAAGTAAATCAGACCTTCGAAAACAAGCAAATCATGGGACTAGTGAATTTGGACATTTCCAAGGCTTACGACTCAACATGGAGAAATAACATATTAATTAAACTCAATAAAATTTTATCCAAAGGCAAAACACTCAATATTATAACCGACTTTTTAAAAGACCGCACATTCCAAGTAAAAGCAAATAGCCAGATGTCCGACGAATTTTCTCAAGAAAATGGAGTACCCCAAGGCTCAGCCCTGTCAGTAACGTTATTTCTGTTAGCCATAAACGACATAACCCAATGCTGTTCCCTACCCGTAAAATGCAACCTTTTCGCAGACGATTTTAACTACTCATGTCGAAGCAGTAATATTAACTCTGTACAAAAATTCCTTCAGATAACCACCAACAATTTAGAAGAATGGGCCGGAATGACAGGTTTTAACTTCTCTCCAAAAAAATCAAACTGCATAGTATTCACAAAAAAAAGAAAGATAGGCAAACTTCATATCACTCTCGACGGCATGCCAATTCCCAATAAAAAATCGGTTAAAATCCTTGGCCTTTTCTTTGATCACCGTCTCACGTGGGCATCCCATATACAATACCTAAAGACCTCAACCAACAACGC